TGAAGTATTACCCAAGCAAAAAATATGAGTTATCTGAGTATCTAGTTGTAAAAAATTAAATACTTCAATAATAATCGACATATCATTAGCATGAGAATCTGAAATAGGAGCAGCTTCAATAAAGTTGAAAAATAAAATATTTTTTTTTTTCTTGTCTATCAATCATTTCATTGATTAGGTTATTACCAATAATATTATTACCAAGTGGATTGGAATTTGTTTGTTCAATAATTTTGACGTTGTTTTTCAGAGAAAGAACTCTATGTTTTAATGACTCATTATCTGCCGATAATAAATCTAAACGTTGAACTAAGTCTTTAACCTTCGATACTATATTTGATAGTATTTCCGTATGGGAGTTCACCAAAGTAACAAGTTTGTTGTGTGATTTCTTGAGTTAATTTATAGATTTAGGAATTTCATCACGTTCATTATCCATAGTAAGTATTTATTGAATAGAAATAATAATAATATGATGAAGAAACAATGTAAAATAAAAGCACAAGACACCACGACTGCAATGAAGACAAAGTTTGTAAGATAACGGAGTGAGGTGAGCAAAACGTACTAACGCCTTGGCTGTAACGACTGTACTGTACAATATTATAATATTAAATATATACGGTGGTAATATTAATATTTGAAACTAAAAAATAATCTTAGGAAGATAATAAAATGTATCATAATTAAAATTACAACGATATAACGAGAATTGGTGTTTGTGATTTTGGATTCAGTGAACTAAGGACATAAGTAATTAAGGAATTATGGTTTTCTTTAAAATCAATGTGTTCAGTATTGATAAAAGGGAAACTTATAGGGCGACAAGAGATTTTAATAACGTTATAAACTCAGATAAAATATTTGGAACAGGTTCGGTTTCACAGTTGTTTGAATTGCCTATATTTGATTCTACGTACGTTTTTGCTTTAAGTTTTTCTTTGCATCGGATATTTGGGGAACGAGGGTTCAGCTAATGCTAACGAGACATTTGTAGGCACTATTGATGATGAAAGTGTCGTAATTTTAGGATTATCTTTCTTGTGAGAAGCGTTTGACATTATTTTTTTAGTAATGATAGCATATACAATTCTCAGTATGCGCACCAGAACGTAACACACAATTTTCAGGTAGTTCCGATGATTTGACACAGTCCTCGGCGAGATTTTCGTTGCTGCATTTGACACATTTGGCGGTTGATTACAGTAGGAGCGTGTGCGACCCTATCGATGACACGGTTTGTATTGTGTTGTGAAACGGGCATGGTACGATTTAGTGACCACTGTTTTGGAGTTCAGGAAGGAAAATGGTTAGTAAATGCTCTGATCGAATTCGTTTGAATCAAGGATAGTATTAAAAAGTTGTAAAGCTCTTTTACTTACTCTGCAGTAGACGTTTAGTACACTTATGACGGAGAATTCCAAATCCCCGTGGGCTTTGATAAGGTATGATGTAGATAGCGGTTAAACACTCTGATTGGACGTATACGACGGGGTGACCACGTGTGGGCTGTTATATCCGAGTCATTGCAATAATTGAAGATTTTAAAGTAATCAACACAACAGCGAGTTTTGATAATCAGGAAGATACCCTTCATAGTAGCAGTAAAGTAACCGTCGGTATCGACAAAAGTAATGAAATCCGTTTCAGCGCAGAGTAGTTAGTAACACTACTTATGAATATCTATGGAAGTTGAATCCATGTCCTTATGAATCTATATCCGTCATCTATGGGAGGGAAGGAAAACGGTTTGGAGACACATCCATTATGCTTTACATTAAATTTGTATGTGGTTTGGTAGAAGAGAAACACGATAAATTCCGCCTAGATGAAACATGTGATTTGAAAAGAGACATGACAGATGAATATGTACATCGTACTAACACGTAAAAATAATCAAATTATAATAATAATAATAATGCTGATTGTAATTTTGTGCACGACGTGATGAGCGTGCAAGCTCATGCACAGAACGCATAGAACTGATCAAATAATCTTATATAATACTATTGTATATTTTATACGTAATAGATAAAATAGTTTTGTAAAATATATGTCTTGAGCATGTCTTGAAAATCATTTTCAGGAGTAATCTAGTTATTTATTTGAAAGATATAACTCTGTATTGCATTTAAAAAATAAATTACATGTTTAAAGAATGTTGTGTTTAATATTCATAGTTGAAATTTAAATTTTTATTAAAATTTTTATTACGTGATTAATAAAATACAGTAAAAAAAAAACAAAAGGTCTATTAAATTGATGACGATGAAAAAGCTACCAATTATTAATACTTCAGCTTTTAAAGTTAACTGGAACTTTTGAAAATATTGTAAATATTTTAATACCAATAAATATTTGAAATCTATGAAGATTTTTTTTTTTAAGTTGGGTTTGCAACTATGAACTTTGCATTATCGTTTGTAAGCTATTTGTTTTTATAAATATTTATATTAATTCTGAAATTTATAATTGGAATTGTATAATTTCTATAAGACAACATCAAATATAATATTGACGAAAGAAAATCGAAATAAGTGATATATTATACTGGTGTACATTATTCTCGGATATTCAAAGAAACTGAATGAAAATAATATACTAGATCATTCATGTATGAAAAATGAAAAGAAAATAACTTATGATTTGTCTTAAAAAAAAAAAAAAAACTTAAGTATATTTACGACTTAAACTGGTAAAGTGGAATTGATATTTGACTTTGTTTGATTTTTTCATTTGAACTAGATTTTACTTAAATGCTACAACTTTAAAATTATTAATACTGAAGAATATAAAACACTTTAAAATATTATAAAAGCTAATAACATTTATTATTTCATGGTATACTAATGAAACTTTTATTTACTTTTCGGTTCTGGTCGTAACAACTTTTTTTCATAGTATTAAAAACAAAAATAATAATTAAAATTTGATGGTTACCTTCATTAGTGACTATATGTTATTTGAAAATAAAATCGCATCATAAAAAAGAAAGTTAAAACGAATATTGTCATTAGTAAATAAGTATTATTAAGATTGAAGAATTATTCATCATCCAATTTTCCTTTATTTTAAATGTAACACCCATTAAGTCGTTTATATAATGATTGGAAATTATATATAAAAAATACATATTAATAATACTACCATGATTTTTGATGAAAAAGGTAAAAAGTAAATTAATCTGAAGTCTTAATTAAACATGTAACTATACATAACACAACGGTAGGTAGGTACACATATTTTAATCTTTTAAAAAGCAAATGCGTATATAACAAGCCCGAGAGACGACTTTGTTCAATGTTTTATCAAAACACGTTTGTAAGTAAATATATCTAAATATTTAGAGGGATTAATAAACTTAAGGGGAGAGTAAAATATTAATTTTAATACATAAAATCTGTAGTTAAAGAAGTGCCTTCACTTCAGCCAAAAATTGATTTTAATGTATTCTTGAAATTATGTAATTTTTTCGCTATTCAGTGTAAACCGATTCAACGATATTGGTTTAAGTAGCTGTTTAACTTTTAACTGTATGAGTAACTTACTCAAATGAATAAGATTTTATTATACACTTTAAACTACCAAAATGTACTCTTTGTACTTAACAAAGTGCGTTATAGTCTTACGTAGTCGCACTATTTTAGGCTCTGATCCAAAGCTATACATAATTGAGTGTGAAACTATACACGCAGCATCTACACAAATACTGCAAAGTCTCATAATACGTATAATAAAATAATGTATTAAACATATTGTACATGTCAAATAATTTCGAAAAACCAACAACAGTTTTTACATAAAGAGATAGAAAAATTTGTAAAGGTATGTATACTCGTGTAGATGATATTATATGCGTCGGAAGGATTTAAACGGATCTGGATTCAAAGAAAGGACAAACAAATAGAAACGTGACCAGTCACCCCCCCCCCTTTGAACTTAAAGAATGTGAAACATGTATTCTTTCCACCAAACGTGACTTCAACTTACTAACTGCTTGACTGCGGGATTACAAAAAAAAATTTAAAAATCACTACCGCATTAGTCTTTTAAAACACGTAATTTTGTTAATGCATACCGAGAATACAGAAAACAAACGTAACGGTTCTTGATGCAATTTTGTGGTCTACGGTAACTATCAAAAAAAAATGAATAAGGAAACAGTTACTAATTGTTTCTTACAAGCCGGATTCCAGGGATAATATTGGTTGTTTAACAAGAATAGAGGATCTGAATAGTGAGCTATTGAAATCAGTTAAACAGTATGTCTAACGGATGTACAATAACTTTTTTTAATAGATGGATGTCTCAAAATCGAAGAATTATCATTGAACATTGAAGACAATATCAATGGTTCTAGAATCTTTAAGAATGAAGAACATGTTGTAAAACAAGGAAAAAAAAATAAAACTAATATTGATGAAATTAAAATAACTCCCATGAAAATCATCGCAGTTAGCAAATTGGCTATTTTGTCTCAAAATAGGTGTTGCGGTTTCACTGTTATTAGTTAGATAATTCCAGTCTAATGTCGAGCAAATTGTCATATAATTTAAATTTTTTTTTTTTTACCGTTGTAAATATATATATGTATTATACGCCTTAATAATCATTAACGGTAATAGTAATACTAAAAATAATAATATGTAATAGTACGTCTTAAATAATTTTTAAAAATTCAGTAAAATTTAAATATTTATTCGTATTAATTCGTCCCAAAGGTCTCATGAGTGTCAGCTGTTTAAATATATTAATGTTTTTATATGCTCCACTGAGGCTGATCGCGTGTGTATAAGATATATTTTTCCAATCATTAGTAATGCATTTCGCGCAATGATAAAAGCGGTACACATACTCACACATGCCCACTCATTCGCAACCACTCGACTAAATTTGATCATATTTGAGATATAGTCTTGGAATTCAGCAACAATGGTCCCATCATTCGGGACGATACAATCACGACAGTGATATAATACAATAATCTATATTATACTCACTGACTACGTTTAGTTGGAACCCTTGGCTGATTTTCGGTTCGGTGCTCACTTGACACTCGTATGTTCCTGAGTCTTTGATCTGCGGCGACGTGATCCTGAGCGTCCACTCGTCCGACCCGTCGGAATGCAGCGATTGAAAACGCTGATCGTTTGTGTACGTCAGTATGCCCACCGTCAGTATATGTAAGTCACGTTTCCTGATCCATGACACCTGAAAGATACCCAAGTTAGGTTACATCAGGTTAGTAGTTGCATTTAACAATACACGTGAAAATTGAGTAGGTATATTATTATTCTACTGACGTCCGGTGTGGGCACCGAATGTTTTTACAGTTTTCAGGCAATAACGTGAAATCATTTTTTTGGAGAAAAAAATATAATAATATAATAATAGTCATAATAATAATTACATACTTTGTGAATTTTTTTAATTTAATTACAAATAACAGGTTAGAATTTCTCAACGGTCTCTTTTATAAATTACTCGAATTATCTCTGAATCTAGTCACCAAAGAGCTAAAAAATGGAAACTTAATATGAAACTAATAAAAAAGGCAACAACAACTTTCGCCATAAAACGTTAAAAATAGTATATTTTCACAAATAACTAATAACTAGGCTTAGGGATTTCTAACATTTGCATACTTTTTTAATTATTGTTAAATATACCAGAGTGCGAAATAAATTCGTTTCTCGATGCCATGATATCAGATCTAAAATTTGAATGTGCATATTTTTGCATATTTCATAGATTTTACAAGAGAGTACATATTTTAAAATTGTTATGCTTATTTTGCATATTTTGACAATTTTTTTAAATTTAAAACTAAAACTATAAGTACATATTTCAAACGATCGAAAAAAAAATGTACTTAATAATTAGTATTTAATATTTCCAGGAATATGCTATCAGCAAACTACCTCACATATCTCGTTATAATTTTTGTGTAAGTATAAATAATACTATAAACCCGTATCGATCGTATCTGGATATCGACCGGATGTTGATAAAGATAATAGTTGATATAGAATAATAGATTATTTATTAAGTGTTCAGTTCAGTCGATTATTATCCATCGTTATTTTTGCGTCTCGCTACCACGCAATGTCGAATCATACATAAAACGTCATACATATTTTGTAACATTGTGTAATGCCGAAAGTCCAACAGTCTACGAGTAGCCGACTACAAAGTTTTGTTTCGAAGTTTAAAGATACATTTACATCCGATGGACACGTTTTATTTTGTGTACTATGTGGTCATTTTTTTTTTTTTTTAATGCATATAAATGCATATTATAATGATTTTAGAAGCATATTTGCATGCATATTTGTGTATTTTTTAGAGCTATAAGTCCTTAAACCTACTAATAACTATATAATATTGAACAATAAAGACAACACAGTCAAGTTAATCAAAGTCTTCGTGGACAGAGATATAACGTGAAAACCCACTTAAATAAAAACTCAAGTAAGACTACGCTCGAATGAGAATTCTATATTCCTCAGTAAATCATCAAATAAAACTATATGATTGTACACCTCAATAATTTGAACACTAATCAGTTCTCAAATGCATTTCATATTTTCCTACAAAAATAAATAAACTCAAATACTTTAAAACGGGCGATGCCCATTCCACCAATATCCATTTCCACCAAACGATCACTTTTTACCAAAATAATTATATACTACGCTTAAATTAAAAGCACTAATAATTTTATTTAACATATACTATTAATTCAATAAATTTCAATCAATAAATTAATTCAATAAAATTATATAATATATACAAAATAGGTTGGAAAATATTATATTTTTAAATTTTATTTAAAAAAAATGATATATTATGGTATACGATCCTTAGTTATATAAATTGTAACTATGTACACTATGTATAAAATTAGTTGATGATTTTTTTAAAATTGTAGGATATACTTTTCACAAAATCGTACCTGAAATTTAATACAAAATTTTGTTTTTAATAAATATATTTAGTATAGTACTTTATTAAACGCAATATGTTACCTTCCAATTATTCCATTTTTGTATTCCATTATAAGATGATAATTTTTCTTTTGTTGGATTCTTACAGTATGATCGTGTGGATTATTTGATATGTAAGTAGTTTTTAATTTGATGTACACATCGTCTGAATTTCTGTTATAGAACGGTTAGCCATTTTGTATTCGGAGGACTTTCTTTATAAAAACTTTGATTGAACCTCGAATGAAATGATTCGCATGCGTTGGTTATCCGTAGTAGGCTACTTGATATAGACGCCCAGTGTCGGTGAACACATACTATTTTTATCAATGTAATTCTAACAAATAATCTGAGTATTTTTCAACTCGTTCCTTGATAAGTTGATTTGACATAAAATCTTCAACAAAGCATTCAGTGACTTCAGTCGATTCTAAAAAAAGTAAATCAAAAGTATGGTGTATCCAAATGCCAATTTCAGATGATGGATTTCGGTGTTCGGTCGACAATCCGAGCTTTTGCAATTGACGATACCAAGCCTGCGTTAAATTAAATCGACATCCTATTATTTTTTTCTGTGGCCAAATTTCATTAACAGAGTTTAAAATCGCCTTTTCAAAGTCAGTGGTTACACTTTTTGGTGATAAACGATGATGAATCGACGAACATTCATCAACAATAAATTTGAATGTATCAATATACGTGTTCATATTTTTATCGGGTAGGTAATGAAAAAAAAAACTAATGGTGTATAATGATCATTTTTGATACTAAGAATTGTGAACATGTGCATAAAAAATCTAGTAGCAGACTTCAAACTTCCGCCTATATATAAATCATCTATTTCACATAAAAATCGAATGTTCTATTCACATGTAAAATGATGATGTTTTTCTTCAACATTAATTAGCAAAAATGGTTCACCTTGTTTCATATTTGTACTTATGTTAATTAATGTTTCATGTACTTCTGCAATATTTTTTGGGTTTTCTGGTAGCAATTTTTTTACTAGCGTCGTAAATAGTTTTTCTTAATCACTTTACATCATTGTTTGTAAAATTAGACATAACTTCCATTTCAGATATTTCTTTCAAAGTTATTTTTTTAGGTCTAGTACACGGATAATCAATTGCTTTTCTCTTACAATTCGAATTTATAATTTGTCTTTCAATTGCTATTGTTGAATATGGTTTGTGGTTATGTATAATGTATTGATCCAATAGTATTTCATTTTTATTATCAGTATACACTTTTGCGGAACAAATTTTTTTAATACATCGCCAACAAATGTTTATATTAGATTTATTAACTGATCTAATAAAAAATTAAAAGTTGTTTAATACTAGAGTTGTTTTTAAACTTTACTTTCAATAACTTTAGCCATCACAGTATTAAACATTTTAAGAATTACGTTTTATTTTTCACACACGCAGTTGTGATGCACTATTTAAACTGTGCAACCTTTTTACTTGTTCATAAAATATTTGATTATTTAGATATTATCATGGTCAATCGACATAAAAGATAAGTACGATAATAGTTTATCATATAATTAAATATGATAAACGTACAATATACATTGATTATATTGTGTGTGCATATTTATATATATTTTACATGAATCCGAAAAACTCACGAAAAGTATAGATATTCTATCTCATTTGCTGGAAACAGGTATTGGTGGAAAAGGGAAAAGTCTACTTTTGGTGGAAACGTGTTACACCTTTTAAAACAAATACTCAAAGATATATTTAAAGACCCTTATGATCCACGATAAACAGAAAAATTCATGATGGCAATGGAACACCTTTAAGACTGAATAAAAAAAAAAAATAATAATGTAAATATGTTCACGCCAATCTAAAAGCCACGAATGGTGCGCGGTCATTCAACCTAGGAATCAAAAAAAAAAAAAAATTCAAGGATTAAAACCGAGAACTATAGATAATAAAAAAGAAATATAGATAATTTTTTCAACTAATTAAAGACCCTAATTAATTGAATTAATCTCTATGTTCGTAAGAACATATGTGTTCTGATTCGTTTTAAATAATAAAATTAAAAAAAAATTAAAATAAAAATAAAAATAGAAATCACTGATACATATTTTGGTGGTATTATTAAGCGTGAATATATTTAATAAATATTAGAACCTAATTAATGATAAAATATTATGAACATTATTATTTGAAAATTATTTTTATAAGCAATCGATGATATAAAGTTGCTTTGAATTTCGGTAGTATAAACATAAGGGGATAGTAAACTCTTTCTGCCAGTTAACACGGTTTCAACTTTACGAATACGTATTATTATTTTGCTATCACTGCAGTAGTACAAAAATCATTTTTTTTTTTTTTCTGAACCTATACATAGGTAACTTACACGTTCTTACATGCCTTCAAAAAAAATTGTATTTTAGCCCTGTGTATCGTTGTACCTCTGAAAGCGTATTACGTATTAACGTGCATTGTCCCGAGGGACGTTGCTCAAGGGTGTCTTTGCAGAAGGTGAGGGTTATGGTGGTGGTGGCGTAGGGGCAGAATATAGATGGTAACTGTGATAGAAATCAGTGGGTGTCGCCCGTTAAGAGATTACACACGTCCGAACACCCATTCGGAATAGCAAATATCGATGCGTCGGAAGAAAGCTCACACACCTACCCGTCTACTGCCGCCACATCTAGAAGAAGAAAAAGGTGATGACACTTGTACGTGTGTTGCGTTTAGGTACAAATAATAGAAGACATCTTAGGAGAACGCACATTGTAATTTAATGTGCACATTTTTAATCGAATTTGTTTTCTCTGTCTAACACGAAAACTGTTTTGTAAGATTATAAGAAAAAAAAAAAGGAAATAATAACATGTAGCGAATGTATTTTAGTTTTCTATTGTTTAAACAGGAGAAAAATATGACCTGAGCATCAGAAAACGATATTATCATTTTCCTTCATAATAAGATATGAAGGATTCGAAAAAGAAGCAGTGAGTGATTGTGAGTGCGAAAAGGGTGTATTTTTCTTCTCCGTTTCTTTTGTACAACGCATGGATATGAATTTGACATATTAATTCGATAAAATATATCATATCATAATTACCAAAAACGTATATAATATCCCGTCTTATTACTTTACGACGACTTATTATAAAATGGAAAATCAGGTGACGTAGCATACATATCAGATAGCTTGAATCAATAATCGAAATTGATAGTGTGGGACGTTTCC